CCACCGAACGTTACTTTTACTCAAGAGTTGTACGTGAAGCGATTGAGATTAAAAAGCATAAAACTTTTAATCGGGAAGATGGTTTTAAATTATCTACAGCGTGGAATCCAGTGTTAAAAATCATACCACCTCGCTTTTCTGCGCAATCGGTTAAACACCAGAATAGGGACTCATGGGTTTGCTTACAGAATAGGGACACTGTTAGTGTGGTATGTGACGGTACATGGCGACACAAAAACAATATCGAAAATGTGCGGGTAGATGAAGAGCCTTCTACTTCACGGATTCGCGGAGGGCGTGCGCCGATGAGCCAGTCAGCCTGTGACCACGGCCGGTGCAACCTGGTCGAAACGTCAGGCAAACCAGAGGTATGTAATACCCTAAATAAGAGATCGCGTTAATTCCCGTTAAATAATATTAATTATTATTATTGCAAATAAAATAGTCAAGTTCCCACTTCTTTAATGAGAAGTGGGAACTTGACTATTTTGAATTGTCTATTTGAATACACGATGTTCATCACAAATCACAACAATCGTAAACTGCTGTTCATGTAAATTTACAAAAGAACGGTGCACAGGCGGGTCGCCTATCAAACGCGTCACGGGCGACGGTGCCTGTTGCTTAGAAGACGGGGCACGCTTGCATGTGTATTTTTTGGTTATATCGTATTGTACTGATGGCGTTATCCTACGACAGTTTTTATTTAATTATTGTATAAAGTGTCCGTGACCGATGGCGTCGACGGATGCACGCTTAATGCAGCGAACGGCCTAACAGTCTTAGGAAACTTCATTATTTTTAATACATATACCTATCTTATTTTTAAAGTGACAAATCTGATGTCATAATTGATTGATAATCAATTTTTTTTTTTTTTTATATGGGTGTACAAAAACGGTTTCATTTGAAATATTATAATATTATTTATAAGACGGGTTACCTGATGGAAAGTGACTACCGCCGCTCATGAACGCCTGCATATTAATCAGGAGCGCGCAAAAAAAAGTATCGGTCTAAAAGCAGGCGATAATTTGTTCCACAGATTGGTTGTGCGCGGCAAAAAGTTTCTTGAGCATAGTGTGGTGGAGAGCCATTCCAAGTTATATCTAAGTTATAGGCTTAGAAGTTTTGCCTCGTGGAACAATAAACGATTATGTATTTTACATCAATTTGTTAATAGAATGTACGGCTTTTTTATTTTATTTATTATTTTAGAAAATAATTACAACGTACAAAATTCAATAGCACGGTAGTAGCTGCAGTAGTGAAAACTACTCGTATTAACGCTTCCGACTGTGTGTAAACATTACATTATATATATATATACGAGTGTTGCAATACATTTCAAAGTAAAAAAAGAGAACATTGAATATTAAAACAATATTAATATAAAAATATCTAAATGAAAATATTAAATTTAAGCTGTTTGTATGTATGTATGTACAGACATCTTTCTGTAACATCCTGTATAATATATGAGTAAGTCCATATTGTTACATATAAAACGACCTTCGTCTGTTTTATAAGAGTCGTATAGGTCTGAATGTAAAATGGCTTGTATTTTTAAAACTTTTTTATTAGCTTGGTATATATGTATGTATGTAACGTTAACATGTAAAATTAAAAAAAAACTAAAAACACGCTTTTGTAAGTAGTTGGACTATAAAGAATTAAATAATTTTCTATAAGTTCAAAAACAAAGATCATTTTATCGTAAAAAAGCGTCGGGTGCCTTTGAAGGTATTCTATAATATAATACGGGCCTGTTGGTCTAGTGGTTAGTGACCCTGACTGCTAAGCCAGAGGTCGTGGATTCGATACCCAACCAGAGCAAATAATTGTGTGACGAGCACGATTATTTGTCCTGTCAGATCACATAAAAAGCCTTTAACAATCTACTGCTGGACATAGGCCTCCCCTTAGAAAGGAGGTTTGGGCCTACTATACCACGCTGGCCAGACGGGTTGGTATAGGGTTTGTGTCATGTTTGGTCCGGTATAACAGCAGTTCCCGGATCCCTCCTATTACAGACGCAGAGTGGCACATCGTGTGTTTTTAGTCGGTCCGATTCCGACACACCACCCCGCCGTAAACCCCGGTGAGGTGACGGCCCCCTCGGGTTTCCACACGTAAAAAAAAAGGGTTTGTGTCATGTGTGCCAGCAGTCTGGTTATAGTAGGGTTACTATAGGCTCCACCCAGTTTGTTATAAGACGGTCGTGTGTGAAATGTATGCAGTTATTATTAAAAAAAAATAAGTATCTGTAGTTGGATCCGTATTAGTGAAAATCCGAGGGCGGCAAAAAATATTTTTTAGCCTTATCACATTTTAGCGGATCTTTTCTGTATGTTATAACGTTTGTGATATTTAAGATAAATTTTACTTAAAATAAAACTAACGTCTTCTTGGAATACGTGAATACAAAAAGGCGCGGAATGTAGCTCGAAAAGAGAAAAGTGTATTGTTTGGAAGCACACTGATTTAATCATTTTCAGTACCTGAGTTTAAAATTTCAAACACTATATATATATCATGAATAGAAACATCAGTGATTTGAAGTCTAATACAAGATCCTTAAATGTCCGTGTCGCCGTAGACCATGTTCTAGACTGAACGATTATAAATATATATCTATCATGGCTTTAAAAGCGGCATGCCGTGGGACGCCGCAGCATGTCGTGTTATGCGGTTCCATTCTAGAGATTATCATGCCACCATATCTCGCGGGGTACATAGCTCACAGGAGTATAGCCCCCCCCACCCCCCCTCCTTCGGAGTCAAGGGCGGGAGACAGTCAATCAGTTTAGGAAGAGGAAGCTTATAAGGTATGTAAAATCACGCTAAGATGGTTAGGAGTGGTGCAGTGCCCAAAATATAAGTTGAAATGCAGTTAACGGCAAGTAACAAATAAATTCATTGATACAAGTAAGGGGTTTACGTTTGTTTTCAATCGAATAACAGTGACCTACAAAACTAACTGGTTTACGATACAACTACAGGACGTTTTTAATGATTTAAGCTATTAAGATAAGCTGTCCTTGAAGTTTTACCTGATATAGAATACGAGTTTATTTTTAATGTTGACGTCACCACAACCTGAACGTATGCAGTGAGGTATGAATTAGGTGACACCGTTTTACATCGGAATACATATTATATAGATTTCACAGATCAACAACCTGTAATACTCGTAGTTCACTGCTGGTTATAGGCCTCTCCTTAGAAAAGTGGTTTTGGCCTATTATAGCACGATGGCCACACGTGTTGATATAGGGTTTTTTCAAGTTTTCCATCTCTATGCAGTGCTGTTGTTAATTAAAACTGAATCCTGTAACTGATGATAATTTTTACATTCCATCCGTTCAATCTTCTAAAGATTATTTTTTTCAGGCAAGCAAAGCGGCGCCAATGACAAAAGATGAGACGATGCTCCTCGTGCAGCTTGAGGCGGCAAGTGCATTTATAAATAACAAAGCAACAAATGCCACTAATAACAAACTCAAGGACCAGGTTTGGCAAACATTAGCTGTTGATTTTAATTCGTCAGTTTCAAGTTACCAAAGAACTCCAGCGCAGCTACGTTTAAAATGGGATAACTTGAAGAAGGCCGCTCGTAAACGCTGCGCAAACATGAGAATCAGCCGTAATAAGGTCAGTTAGGAATTATGATTAATGATTCACAACAGTAAGTAGTAAGTTAAAATAATATTTTTAAGTACTCCTTTTTTTTTACAGACTGGAGGAGGGAATGACTACTTTCCACCTGACGAAGTCCTGGCCAAAGTGGCATCTTTATTAGGCAACACATGCACAGGTTTTTCTGTGGAGTTTGGTGGGGATGCCACCATTTCAAATGTTCCTTTGGTGATGGCTGAAATAGAGAATGTAGAGGTAATATGTAATGAAACGCTAGAAGATGATGCTGATGGTACTTATGGTGGAGGTGGTGATAAGAGGGAGGTGTTGAAAGAAACACAATTACTTGAGACACCTCCCCCCCCTAAACATAAAAAAAATTACATAAGTAAAGCTAGTGGCAGTGGTGCATTGGGTGGGTGGCTGAAATTTTTGTTTTAATGCTATTTTCCATTACATACTTATTCTCTGAAACATGCTAACTGTGGACTATTACACACATTGAAACCATATAATAACTACTATATCTTACTTTACTTTATTTTTATAGCCAAGCGGAAACAAAGGATGGAAGAGGAAAAGTGTAAGGCCCGCATTATGAGGGAAAATGCTCTTACAGAATATTTAGGTGTTAAGAAAAGAAAAATCGAATTAGAAAATGAGGAAAAGGAGTTACATATAGCTAAACTTAAGTTAGAATTAGATAAGGCTAGATTAGAAAATTAATGAGGTAAAATGTTTTAAATTTTTTGATTGTAATTTTTAATCATCATTCATATGTATCTATTATAAAACATTGGGTAAAGGAAGTTATAAGTATAATATGAAATTAATTTAATGTAATGATACTAATAATACTAACTTAATTATAAGCAAGTTGTTACTAATGCACTAACACTATGGACTGCATCACTACGGTCTGAAATAAATGATTATTATAGGCATATGCTTTGTTTACCTCAATAATCCACCACTGGTACATTGTATTCTGATGTCAAATTTGTAAAAGAAAATAAAAATGTACATAAAATATGAATTAATATTATTTATTTTACACATTAAAATAATTATTTATTAGTAATTGCCGTTCTGACATGTTTAAAATTGGAGAATTATCATTGACAATTACATTTTCCTCCTGTGTTGTATCTGGAATAGATATTTCTGGCTCAATTTCATCCAAATTCATAGTTCTGGCAATATTGTGTAACACAGCAGTGGCTATAATAAGGGATTGCATATTTTCTAATTTTAGCCTCATTTTCAAGGATTATATGGGGAATCTTCTTTTCCAAACTCCAATGCATCGGCAATTACAGTAGTTATTAATAAATTGTGTATTTAAACCATGTACACTGCATCTAGTATTTACTAAACAAAATAAACCTCTCTATAGTATTTCTTGTTTTAATATGTGCTTCATTATAAGATTGCTCTGATGGAGTATTTGGGTTGAGTAGAGGTGTCAATAGATAGGGTGTGCATAGATAGCCACTATCACCAAGCAGCCAGCGATTTCCAAGTCTACCTTGTTCACAATAATCTGCAAGTTTATATTATATATTAGACTTTTAAGCAATAGGAACAGTGTACTTAACATTCATAGAATAAGCAACTAACTAAATCAGTAACCTTTTAAATCAGAATGGTTAAATATAGTTGCATCGTGAGTGGATCCTGGCCATCGGGCAACAACATTTAGGAACACTAATTTACAATTACACACAACTTGTACATTAATAGAATGTTCCTTTCCTGTTTCTGAATTCTTCTCCCACATTTGAGTCTGTAAACTAAAGAATTATGGTATGAAAATCATAAAAAATGAAGTTAGACCGGGACCTAAATAGAAGTATCAAATAGTTCAGTATGAGGTGAGATGAGGTACTAACTTGGTGATTGTATTAATATATGGGTGCCATCTATGACACCATGTACTCTGGGAAATCTAGCAATATTATAAAACTCTTGTTGAGTGTGATTTTGTTACACAACAAGGTTTGAGTATAATCTTGCTATGGCTTTGGATACATCAGAGACAATACGACTAGCAGATGCTATAGATACTCCGATAAAATCTGCAACTGACACTAGCATAGTACCCAATGCATAGGATCGTAGAGCCAAAAGTATCTGATGGAGGGTGGATATGCCGTGATTTCTGGAAAAAATAAGAACTGTTATAACCTGATGACAAACCTCAACTTTTGCTATAATAGCAATATATTTGCTATATAGCAGCCCCAGTAATAGCCTACACTTGAGCCAAACCCAATAAATAAAATATAATACACTTGCTTGTAATTGTCAAATTAAAGAATGGTTTAATCTTTGTTGTTTATGATTATAATATATTTTTTATCAAATTTGGTTAAAGGATGGAGATAGGACTAAAAATGATAACGTAAAACCTTACCTTTTAGATGTTACTCTTAAATATGATTGTATCCAATTTATTAATTGATTCACAGCACTCTTATTTAATCTATATCTATATGCAAAATTCGTAGTCATTTAATTTAGTCATATAATTCACACGTGGTTTATATTCCTTCTGTACAGGTATGTTATCATCAGTATCACTGTCACTGCTTTCATCATAATCCATTATAATTCCAAATAATTCCATGTCGCTATCATCACTGCTAAAACCTTCCATTATTTTATATTTAATATGAAGTTATTTATTATCGAAATTCTATTTGCCCGCGTAACTGGCCGATGTTGACAGATAAACAAAAACGTTACTAATAGTTAGCTGCGCCTACCGGAGATTAACTCGAAACTTATATTGAAATACAATTTAGTCAGATTACTGTGCGAGTTATTATTTCTAGTTGACTATCCGTCCTCCCAAAGGTAGATAGATAACTCCGATAGGAAATGCTATCTGCCGGTAGGTTACGGAAACGTAAGTTAGGGTAAAAGGATAGATTTGTTTAACTGTAGTAATGAGAACTAAGGATAGATAGGTTATTGAAAACGGCCGAGGCAGCGCATGACCGCCGCTAGCTGTTTGGACGCCCGCGTGCAATACCGATGAAGTCGCCCTTTTCTCCGTGCGGTAATCGCCCTCCGGATACCCCCATATGAATTCCAATTCCGATCAAGTTATTTTCCATAATTTTTAAAAAAATATTTCCTTACAAATTATTTCCTTATTTCAAAGAGTTTAGAAATCATATTACTTAAGGCGCTCTTGCAGCGCGGTGTGAAGGTGTGCAAAACATTACCTCACCCCCCCGCTAACGTATCGTACTGTTAGAGATGCCTTATGTAAGCATTCCTGCACACCCCACACTTCTACTCTGCACACTCAGCATTTCTCCATCAATAGCCGAACGACCCGTCCACTCATGACCAGTCTCATCCCGATATCCAAGCCAGACGGTTGTCTTAACCCTATTTAGTATTTTATTTCTTTTTAAAAAGACAAGTTCCCCGAGACTCGTAACATATTTGGTGGCAGCGGTGGGATTCGAAAAGAGTCCCCGGTACGTCTCTTAAAAAGTTCAAATTCGGCGCGAGTGTATTTGAGTGTAATTGCCGACTCCATAGTGTACAAAGTGTCAGTGCACCGAGTTCGAGCCCGACTCCTGGACGTCAGTATTCGTGATAAAGCTTGTGAAAGGCCCATTGCTGTGCACCACCCGTGCTGCAGCCGGTCTTTGTCCAGAACCAGAAGGATTACACCCATTGTCACGCCAAGTTAGTGCTGTGACCGGTGTAATATCTCCAACGACGCGACGACCTTCGGCTTATCAACGCCTACGCTTCGCCTGTGAATCTTCCAAGAAACCATGTCCGTTATTCTTATCGCGCTGTCCGCATTCCAGTAAGTGAAACCATACACTTGGTCATTGCTAACATCTTATTTAAAACTAATACATTATATTTGAGATTTTTAAATATCATTACTCTATTCTGTAACGTATTCCGTCACATACGTATATTGTTCAAATTATTGTTATTTCAACCTTATTGTGTATTTGTAATTGTTAAGATGACTGAGAGATCCCAAAGTCCAAAATTGGAAATTAACATTACTGATACCGAAGAGGAAGGCCAAGGCCTCTGCCCTCCCCCTCAAGGACCTTCTACTAGATCACAATCAAAAAAAATTAAAACTGTAACATCTAAATTAGAAATTGAGCTTTCCACGTTATTAAAATTCATAAAGCCATACGATGGCTGCAGAGAAAAACTAAATTCCTTCTTAGTAAACTGCAATAACGCCTATGAACTAGCATCAGAATCACAAAAAGACATACTCTTTAAATACATTCTATGCCAACTACAGGGCAAGGCGGAAACCGCATGCTCCATCAAAGAATTTTCAAATTGGCAACAACTGAAAGAATTTCTAAAAACACAATTCAGTGAAAGAAAGCACTATGCCCATCTTTTAACAGATTTACAGGAGTGTAAACAACAAATAAATGAAAATGTAAGTCAATATGCTCTAAGGATCGAGACATGCCTGTCTCATCTGTTAACCGAAATATCTATCTCACACGGTCATAAAGGTCGAGAGATGATAGGACGCACGGCAGCCATGGAGGAATTAGCCCTCCATCATTTCCAAATGGGATTGACACCCCGTATCTTTAACATTGTCAGGGGTAAACCAATAAAAACTCTAAATGAAGCCATAAATATGGCCATTTCAGAAGAAAAAATACAACAGTCCCTATCCAGACAAGGTCCGAATTCGTTAAGCACTCAACAACCACGACAAGATAGGTCAAACGCTACAAAACTAAACACTCAATTTATTCGTCGTAACCAAAATCAACAACCCTCGACCTCAAACCAGTACAACGTAAAACCTAACTTTAATAACCCTAACAGATCTAATAATAACTACAACAATTCTTCTACTCAATTCTGTAGGTACTGTAAAACGCCAGGTCATACCTTAGAGCAATGTCGGAAAAGGGAGTTCAACAACAACCGTTTCAAGAATTTCGACCCGAATCAGCAAAGAACGCTACAACGCGTCAACTTCATTTCCGACGAATCCTCAGACAATAACGATGGATATTCGGCTAACCCCACAGAGGGTTATGATACCGTTGATGCCGATCCAAAAAACGAGTAATCGTCTCGTCCCGGTGCCGTGCGGGACGTCATAATTCAAAAAACGGTATCACAAGTCCAAAATCCACTGTATCCGTGCAGCAACATCATGTTGATCTGCCAAAATCCTCTGTATCCGTGCAGCAACATCATGTTGATCTGCCAAAATCCTCTGTATCCGTGCAGCAACATCATGTTGATCTGCCAAAATCCTCTGTATCCGCGCAGCAACGTCATGTTGATCTGCCAAAATCCTCTGTATCCGTGCAGCAACATCATGTTGATCTGCCAAAATCCTCTGTATCCGCGCAGCAACGTCATGTTGATCTGCCAAAATCCTCTGTATCCGTGCAGCAACATCATGTTGATCTGCCAAAATCCTCTGTATCCGCGCAGCAACGTCATGTTGATCTGCCAAAATCCTATGTATCCGTGCAGCAACATCATGTTGATCTGCCAAAATCCTCTGTATCCGCGCAGCAACGTCATGTTGATCTGCCAAAATCCTCTGTATCCGCGCAGCAACGTCATGTTGATCTGCCAAAATCCACTGTATCCGCGCAACAACGTCATGTTGATCTGCCAAAATCCACTGTATCCGTGCAGCAACATCATGTTGGTCTGCCTAATTCCACTGTATCGATACAAAAACAAGGTAAACCGCCAAAACCTTCTAAATCAAATATTTTTGAAATTACAAATAACCCTGCAAAAACATTATTACCACACGTTCTAGTTAATTCCTCCGTATCAGACATCCCGCTATCCTTGTTAGTAGACTCAGGGTCATCTGTAAGTTTAATAAAACATTCATGCATAGAAAAGCACCCTAGACTTATCAAAGAAACGATTCAATTAAAAGGCATTGACTCGAAAGAAGAACCCATCAATACTCGAGGCCACTTCCGATTAAAATTACAGCTTTCTAAATCCACAATATCACATCCCTTCCACGTCATTGACGTAATACATTTACCTTATGATGGAATTATCGGCTCCGATATGCTGAATATGCATAACTGCAACATTAATTATAATAATAATCTGCTCCATCTGGGTAATTCATCCTTAAAATTACACTTTCATGATCCCGCTTACTTAATTCCTGCTAGAACCGAAACCATTATTGAGTGTTCTGTGTCTAATCCTGAGATAAAAGTAGGGGTAATCCTCGATCAGAAGTTTTCAGAGACTTTATTGATCGCCAATTGCATAGTACGCGTAAAAGAAAACAATCGAATTAACATATCCGTCGCTAACACTTCCGATAAACCCATCACATTAAATTCGAACCTAAACCTAAAACTTAATCCTATTGCACCTTCAGAATTCAAGGAACACCCAGCTAGTTCAATAAACCATATACGAGTTTCAACCAATAGCGTCGAGCGTACAGCAGAAGTATTAAAACAGCTACGCGTATCACATTTAAACGAAGAAGAAAAAACCGCTCTTCTGCAATTATGTTCCGACTTCTCTGACATATTCCATCTTCCAGGAGAAAATCTTACCCATACTAATGCCCTAAAACATGAAATTAAAACTACAACGGACATACCAATACACACTAAATCTTACAGATTCCCCGAAATACATAAAGCCGAAGTCCGTAGACAAATGGATAAAATGCTGGAACAGGAAATTATAGAACCCTCTGATTCCCCCTGGTCATCGCCAATATGGGTGGTCCCTAAAAAGCTT